GCAACCCTATCCTAAGGCCCCATAGTCTGGCCATAAAGGGCTAAAGGAGGGTTTCTGCTTTGGTGACGGTTTTCCTTACCCTTTGCCTTAGAGGTAGAGCCTCAGCCCAAGGAGAGGTTCAGAGGGCTCTGAGTTCATGGATTGGATTCAAGCCTGGTCTGCCTCTCCAGGCTGGCTGGAAAAGGGTGACATGCTGGCAGAGATCTGGGGACCTCAGACTTGAGGGCTCAGGACCATGGTTCCAGCCACACGTTCCTATCAAAGAATGAACTTATTTACTGGGCTTGCTTTTTGTGTTTGGGGATCAGAGACATCTCCATGTATTGTGCTCTGGGCTTTTTGGATCTGTCATCAGCATGGTTGTGCTGTGTGAAAGGGACTGTTCAGCTGTACATGCCCAAGTCAGAGTGACATGGCAGCTGAGTGGCCTTTGGCTGGGAAGCTCCCTAAGCAACCTCTAAGGTCCCTAACCCATGCTACCAAGGTGGACTCCAGGGCTTGGCCCTGTTTCTGTTGGCCACCTTGGTCCCATCACTTACCCTCCCTGGCCATCACAGGAGTGTCCTGTAGCTTCACTCAGCCCATCTCCAGGCAGCAGGGCTGTACTCAGCCCCAGGCTGGTACCCTGGAGGACAGCCTGGCCTGCAACTTTAGAAAGCTCATCTGTAAGGAAGCCAAGGGAAAGAACATCTCTGTGTCTGTACAGCATATTCATTCTCCATGTCCCTCCTCTCCAACTTAGATTATATAGTTCATCATTTCAGAACCCTCTTTTAGCAAGAAACTCCAAGCTCATCTGCCCTCCTCAAGAACTGGGTATCGGGGCCAAGGATATAGCTCAGTGGCACCGTGCCTGCCTGGTAAGCGTTAAGGTCTTCAGTTCCATTCCTACTACTGGGGTGGGTGGGGTTAAAAAGCATGTCTTAAAAAAAAAAAAACTAGGTATCACCCCACAGCCCCCAAACTGCGTCAGGCTCCCCTCTAGCCCTGCCACCCACTCCTCCCTCGCTGTGGAGTCCTGGTCTGAAAACTCATCTTCCCCAACAACCCACACTCATGGAGGAGGCCAGGGCCAGGTCACTTCCCATGGACCTCATTCCTCAGATTGTTTGGTCTCCCTCTCACTTTTTCTCTGTGTTGTGTCACTCAGTATCTTTCTCTCTCCCTCTCTCACTTTGTGTCACTGTCTCCATCACTTTGTCACCTGGATTGGTCCGGTTGATTTGGCAACTACTTTGTCTTAGCTAGGGCTGCCCTGAGAGAACGCTATAGACCTGGCTTGAACAGAAGAAAGTTCTGGAGGCTGGGAGTCTCAGAGCAAGGTCTGGGCTGGGCTGGTTTCTCCGAAGCCTCTGTCTTTGACTTCAGATGGCTCTTCATTGTCTTTGGGTGGCTGCCTCTCTATGTACGTCTCTCATCTAGAAGGTTAAGAGGCCCAGGTGCAACTTCCTCTCTGGCCAGGCCAGGCCCAGTTTCCTCACCTTCCTCACCTGTCAGCCCTCTAATATGCCACCAAAACAGTCCAGTGTTAACACGTTAGCGATCCTCCCCATGCTGGACTTCTCACATGTTAGGCAAGTGGCTCTATAACTGAGCTGCATCCCTACCTCCTGTGACCACTTTTAACCCACATTGTCAGCAAGCTCGGCACGACTGTCTGTGCCCCTTCCCGGCCACTTCCCTATACCCTACACTTGAGCCAGATCATCTTGTCTCTTGGGCAGTTCCCACCCCCGCCTCTGTCTCAGCTGACCTACAAGATATCTGTCCCTCCAAGTCCCAGGCCTGGGAACAACCATGTCCATGATTCTATGCTGCATTCTATCTCCATCACCCCAACTCTGTCTCAGGCAGGCATGTCACACACTCCTCACCTCACCTCAGAGGACATTCTCTGACTAGTCCAACTGCACCCAGCCAAGCCACACCTCCTGGCTGTGCTGTCACCTAGCCCCTTCCAACACCTCAAGGGCCAGCCTGTTGAACTTCATTTTGAATATATCCACTGTGTACCACTGCCCTATCTCAGCCAAGCCACCTACCCATCTCCCTGCCCTCAGTGCAGCTCCTCCCCTGCCTTTCTGCAGTGGTCTAAGAATGGCTTTACAAAACCTTCAAGAAGCAAAGTAAGGCCATGGTTGAAAGTATACTTTATGGGCCAGGGATTTAGCTCAGTGGTTCTTCCGCCTGCCTCACAAGCACAAAGACCTGAGTTCAATCCCCAGTACCAAAAAAGAAAGAAAGTACACTTTAGCCAGACTGCCTGGGCTCAAATCTAGTTTGTAGCTGTGTGGCCTCAGGCTACTCACTGAACCTCTCTGAGCCTGTTTTCTCAATTGTAAAATAAAGAGGACAGTTGCACCCACTTTGGGAGATTGTGATGAAAGCTGAAAGAACTCTGTCACCTGGAGTTATAAACCCTGGACCTGCGGCCAGAGTCCACATCACATCCTTGCCGTGAGGTCTTGGCTGAGTGGTCTAATGTCTAAGAGGGCTGCCCTTCATCCAAAGATGGGAAGAACTCCAGTCTCACATATATGAAAATCTAGTGAGATATTCCAGTGTCTAGCCTGGCACACACTTTGCGGTGTTGGTTATTATTACTTCCAAAATGCAAATGTCGTTCCCCATTACTTCAGAGATACAGACCAAAGTCCTTCCACAGCCTCACGGGGCCAGTCCCTGCCTGCTGTTTCACATTCTGCTCCCCTATTTCCAGTCATTGGACTCTCACCACTTGGTCTTTGTACATGCTCTTCCATCCACCTGGAACACTGTCCCCTCTTTCATACCATTCCCTCCCTGCCACCCTTCAGATCTTGGCCCAGGCCCACCTTAGGGGAGCTTTCCTGGACCTCCAGTGTGGTGTTGGGTACCTGGGGTCACGCTCTGACCTTCACAGCTCTTCTGAATGATGTGACTCTTAGCTTAAGGTCTGTGACCTTGGGAGCTCTGACAGCAGAGACCGTATCTTGTTCTACTCAAGGCTGAACTAGCATTCAGGGCAGTGTTCCCTATCTATAGACACATAGCTAATATCTGAGGAATGAGTGAGAGAGGGACTTGGTCCTGATACTCAGTACCTCAGCACAGGCTGGGACCTGTAGAAGGATATGACACCCAGGACTTACCAAAAAAAGAGAAGCCCTTGCTTGTTTCTAGCATAGGGCCCAGAGACCAGGAGGGATCAGAGGGCAGGTCTTGCTGCCAGCAGCCACCAGAAGGCAATGTCAGCTATCATAACAAGCCAGCCCTACCTTGGCTCTCTATCCCTTAAGGTTCCTGTCAGCCTAAGGAGGCGGGGGCACCAGCGAAAGAGACCAAAACTTAGAGGCTATGTGACTTGCTGAGGCTCAGATCCAGGGAAGGAATAAGACCCAGAGCTCCAAGCTGCCCAGCCCCACAGCCTATGGATTCCATCTCTGAGTTCCATGTGCCTTTGTATAGCTCAGCCTGCTTCTGCAAATATATTTGGACAGATGGGCTTCAAAGCAGAAAGATGTCTACATAAGGGTTCAAGGCAGGACTTAGGCTAGCCTGAAGAACAAGTGGTGGCTCTCAGTCTCTCTCTTGGACAAACACCAGGCAGCCAGAGGTGTTCCATGGGGACGGGTTGGGGGATGACAACTCTGGGAGGTGTCCTTGAGTCTAAAGGGACAGGCTTCTCTCTGTATCAGTTTCCTCAAATGTTGCATGGAGGTGATGCTGGGTTCAGGTTGGACTCGGACTCTGGTTTCAGGTCTTAAAAAGTCTTCCTGGGATCCTGTCTCCAATTCCCCTTTTTCCCACTTTCTCACTTTTTGTTTTTATTTGCCACTTTCTCCTTTTGTGTGTGTGTGTGTGTGTGGTACCAGGGATCGAATTCAGGACCTTATGATTGCCAGGCAGGTGTGGAGCCACTGAGCTAAATTCCTGGCCCATCCATTTTCTCTTTTAAGTGCTACTTTTTTCTTTGTTCATTTGAATCAGAACACATTTGTATGATTCAGAAATCAGATGGATATAAAAAGGTTTGCATCGAAATGACCAATTCATCAATTTCCTATATATTTGCAGTCTTTTTATATGCAAATAAAAATACAAACTTTCCTATCTCCTGACATTCATAGCTTCCTAAAAAGAAAGGCCAAGGAATAAATGCTACGGATGGTAGGTGCTCTGCATTAGGGGCAGATCCAAGAGATGGCTCCCTCAGTGTACTTTTCACAGCTGTGTCCTGTGCCATCCAGGAGTGCATCTTGGCTGTTGCAGCACTGTATGCAGCCATTCTGGGTATGTATGAGGGATGGAGAGCATGGATTCTCTGTTCTCATGGTTCTTTCTCTTCCTTCTTTATTCCTCCCATCTCTCCCTTCCTTTGTCCTCTTTTCTAACAGCTTGATTCAAGATATAACCTATCCCATACAATTCACTCGCTAATGTACCTAGGGCTGTTCCATTCATACTTCACCTCAGTGCAGGCCCTCTCTCTCTGCTAAATCCCTCCACACCTCCACACCTTGCCCTACTCTGCGATGTGGCAGCCAGGCTCTCCCAGATGCATTATTCAGATCTCAAGCTCGCTAGCTCCTGTTACATTGACCACAGCACCTGCCCTGCCCACTCCCTTCCTCTCTTGGAGGTCCGAGTTTCCCCTCTCACATAACTTGGTGGGCTCTTATCACATCCTGGGCTCAGGAGACCCTGTTCTACTTCAGGCACAGTACAGGGGTGCTGGGTGGCCTAGGGTAGGTAGTTTTCCCCTCTCTGGGGCCCGGTGACCCAAACATTGAGGGTAGTTGAGCCAGCTGAAGGACAGGGAGGGCCTGAAAAGAGTCAGCACAGTTGTTGCCATAGTGATGCTAAGGCTAGGACGATCCCCCAGCACAGGCCTCCCCAGGGTTCCCCGGCTGGTAAACAACACCCGCGAACTTTCCACCACTGCTTGCTTGAAGGTGAAACCCAAGGCGGATCCTCAGGAGATGAATTATGGATCCACCCTCCCAGAATGCTGGCCCTGTCCTTTCCCAAGCCACTCTGGCCAGTACCAGCTACTGGGAGACAGAGGAGGCTGTGTGTCCAGCTGCAGGCAGGAGACCTAGCAGGCCCTTGTGTCTCCAAGTCCCTGAACCTGTGCCAGAGGCCCCAGGCCCACTAGGAGCAAGAGGCCATCATGGCAAAGGAGGAAGATGAGGAAAAGAAAGCCAAGAAAGGGAAGAAGGGGAAGAAGGCCCCAGAGCCAGAGAAGCCCAAACGGAGTTTGAAGGGTACATCTCGGCTATTCATGGGCTTCCGAGATCGCACACCCAAGATCTCCAAGAAGGGCCAGTTCCGGAGTGCATCAGCCTTCTTCTGGGGCCTCCATACTGGCCCCCAGAAGACCAAACGCAAGAAGAAGGCCCGCACGGTACTAAAGTCTACATCCAAGCTCATGACACAGATGCGCATGGGGAAGAAGAAGCGGGCGATGAAGGGCAAGAAGCCTTCCTTCATGGTGATACGCTTCCCAGGCCGGCGGGGCTATGGCCGCCTCCGACCTCGTGCCCGATCACTCAGCAAGGCGTCCACAGCCATCAATTGGCTTACGAAGAAGTTCCTCCTCAAAAAAGCTGAAGAGTCAGGAAGTGAACAGGCCACACTGGATGCCTGGTTCCAGCGCTCTGATTCCCGCATGGGCTCCCGAAAGCTACCTTTCCCATCCGGGGCCGAGATCCTGCGGCATGGAGGCCAGCTCCGCAGGTTTCCCCGCAGCCACAGCATCTACTCCTCTGGTGAACCTGTGGGCTTCCTGCCTTTTGAGGACGAGGCACCCTTCCGGCACGCGGGCTCTCGCAAGTCGTTGTATGGTCTGGAAGGCTTTCAAGACCTGGGTGAATATTATGACTACCACCGCGAGGGTGACGACTATTACGACCAGCAATCGCTGCATCGCTACGAGGAACAAGAGCCCTACCCAGCTGGCTATGGTCCCTACAGCCCAGCCTGGCCACCCTACATTGACTACGCGTACAGGTACCCGCCTGAGGACCCCTACGACTACTACCTCCCTGATCACTATGGTAGCTCCTTTTTCCCCAGCCACAGCTATGGCTACGGCTATGGCTATGATGACTACGAGCCCCCATATGCACCCCCATCGGGGTACTCATCCCCCTACAGCTACCAGGATGGGCTCGAAGGCGAAGGATACTCCCACAGCTACTACCTGGATCCCTATGCGCCCTACGACGTGCCCTACCCTTCCTATGACCTGCCATATGAGCCTCCCTACAATGTGCCTTACCTTGATCCCTACGGGATCCCCTACACTGTCCCCTATGCCGAAGGCATGTACGGTGGAGGGGACGAAGCCATCTATCCCCCAGGAGCACCCTACCTTTATCCAGAAGAGTCGGCCTTTGGGTACCCCTGGGTACCACCGCCCATCCTATCACCGCACAACCCATACGCCCACCCCATGGATGACATCGTGGAACTGGAGGAGCCAGAAGAGGCACGCGGGGAGCCGCAGGGCACCTCCTTCCGCCTGCCTAGCTCAGCCTTCTTTGAGCAGCAGGGCATGGACAAGCCGGCCAGGTCCAAGCTATCTCTCATCCGCAAGTTCCGCCTCTTTCCACGGCCGCAAGTGAAGCTGTTCGGGAAAGAGAAGCTGGACGTGCCCCTGCCCCCCTCCCTGGATATCCCGCTGCCCTTGGGAGATGCGGACGAGGAGGAGGAAGAAGAGGAGATGGCCCCGGTGGCTGTGCCGCCCTACGGCCACCCCTACTGGGCCTTCCTCACACCACGGCAGCGCAATGTGCAACGCGCGCTGTCTGCCTTCGGGGCCCCCCGCGGCCTGGGCTTCAGCCCGGAGTTTGGCCGCCCAGCTTCCCGCCCTGCCACCTCGCTGGCGCGGTTCCTCAAGAAGACGCTGTCAGAAAAGAAGCCTATCCCGCGGCTCAGGGGCAGCCAGCAGGCCGGAGGGCGCGGCTCCACTGTTAGGGAGGCGGCCTACAAGCGCTTTGGCTACAAGCTGGCCGGCATGGACCCCGACCGTCCCAACACGCCCATCGTGCTGAGGCGCGCCCGGCCTCAGGCGCGCAACAACAACAACT